CTAACATTTATGCAGTCACACAAAGTATGAGAAACATTAAGCAACATACCTATAGTTATCATGTGACTGCTATATTTGTAGTACTTAAATGTTTCCCTCAAGACATATTTGCCAAGGTTTCTTTTGACCTAGGTCTAAATGTTATTTTATTCTATGTACAGTATATGCAGCTGCTTTTTCGATATTTTCTTGCAGTTATGCACATGCATAAAATATTATACTTGTTCCAAGCCACTATATATGACTGAGTTAAGTTAAATTTGTGGCCCCAAATCCACACATGCAAGATATTTTTAAAAGGTTAGAAAACTCTTTTGCCTATTGCCAAAGCCCTAATCCTGTTCTGTGCAAACATCTGTAAAAAAAGGACCTTGTTATTAGGATTCATGGTGCAAGGAAAACCAATTATCATGGTCAATTATATTCATAAAGCTCGCTGCCCAAAAGTTATTAGAAACGTATTTGCAAACTGAGAATGTTTAATACATGTCTACTTAATTCGAGGTTGTCCCAATTCACATTATTGGGCACACTTTAAACAATGCTTGCATAGATATTTAGCCTAAAACATAAAATTTATTCAAGACAAAAGTTTTCGCATTTCAAATTGAAAACTGTTATCAACTCCTAGGTGCTACTCATCATATATGAACATTTATTGTTAAAGGTAATGCAGGTAAGAAAACAAAAATCTGCAAATATACACATAGATCAAAATGGTGGGGGTTTTTTTGCAAGTTTTGCAGCGTTTTACATCTTCTGTATACTGTTTCTTTTTTAACTGATGTGTTAAAATGTTTCTTCTGGTTACAAAAATTAGTGATTGTCAACTCAACTACATTTGGAATAAATTTGTCCAGGAATAGTTTGTAAAAAATGTTTGAGGGTTCAATGAATTTAATCCCAAAAGAAAAAAAGAAAGATATTCACATTTTTAAACTGTTCATTCACAGTTAAGTATTAATATGTGTCGTGGCACATAATATAGATGTGACACATAATTCAATTACACATTGACGTTGGACTGTACTGAGATTTGTTCATCTCAAATACATAGATCATGTAGGGTGTTACGAAATAACCTGAGAATTTATATTTGAATTCCTTCATGCAAATTCATTTGAGTTTGGCAACTTAAGTCCAAACGAGACAGGACCTGAGGGCAGACGGTGCAGAGAGGCCTCAGAGATAGTCCACCACATAATGGCAGGATGTAAGATGCAGCAGGAATAGCGTACACTGAACAGCACAACCAAGTACAGGTAGCCCTCAACTTAACAACCACAATTGAGCCCAATGTTTCCATTGCTAGGTGAGACATTTGTTAAGTGAATATTGCTCTGTTTTACAACCTTTCTTGCCACCATTGTTAAGTGAATAACTGCAGTTGTTAAGTTAGCAACGTTGCTGTTAAGTGAATCTGGCTTTCCCATATTGACTTTGCTTGTCAGAAGGTCACAAAAGGGAACCACACGATCCCAGAACACTGCAATGGTCACAAATGTGAGTCAGTTGCCAAGCGGCTGAATTTTGATCATGTGACCATGGAGATGCCGCAAACGTCCTAAGTGTGAAAAACAGTCATAATTCACTTTTTCCTATGCTGTTGTAACTTTGAAAGATCACTAAATGAATTTTTGTAAGTCTAGGACTATCTGTAGCTGGTATTGTGTACAGGAATATCTGTGCGATATACGGGCTAGACCAGGGGTGGACAATTTTGCCAAAGGGCCACATAAGAAACTGGAATTGTTGTGAAGGGCTGAACCTGATCTGATGTCCTCAAACTCCATCACTTCAACTCCTCAGGCTGCTCCAGGCAAAGGGTGAACACAGTTCAGATGAAGAAATCCATTTGATCTCTTTGCTCTCCTGTGGCCACCAGCCAACTGACGGAGTGCACAATGATTGTGCAGAGCCAGATCTGCTCAGCTTCCTCTCTTGCCCCCTGCACCACACTTATTTACATCTGATTTGTAATTTCTGATTGACTTCAGACGGGACTGATAGGGACAGCCAAAGGGCCAGGTGCAACCTGAGGGGACGTAAAATGTCCAGGTCTGAGGCAGACCTTCCCAAGTCCAACTAGGAGATTCCAGAGAAGACCATGGAGAATAAGTGAAAATCCAGTGGAATTTCTAGATTCAGATAGGTACTGGCCAAACAACTAGATATCATGGTAGCAGACAGGGACCAGAAGACAGCTGTGATTGGTAGATGTAGTGGTGCCAAATGACAACAGCTTCATAAAGAAGGGGTATGAGAAGCTAGAGAGATATCAGAGCCTGGAGAGGTTGTGGAAAGTAAAGACCAAAGTGGTCCCAGTGGTGGTAGGAACACTTGGGGCTGTGACTCCTAAGCTGAAAGGGTGGCTACAATACATCCTAGGAACAACCAGACAGCTACATATCTACATTGATAATATCTTAAGGTCTCTTGCTTTATTTACCATAATCCTTCTTCCAAATCTTTACATCTGGTTTTTAACCACTCATACCATTTATCCCATATTGCATAATATTTGGAATCCTCCTTGTCTTTCATTTCCAATGTGAGCTTATCCATTTCAGCACATTCCAATACTTTTTGTATAACTAAATCTTCTGAAGGGATATTAGCTCCTTTCCATAATTGTGCGAAAGCTATTCTGGCTGCTGTCAAAATATGCAATATAATATACACTGCTCAAAAAAAATAAAGGGAACACTTAAACAACACAATGTAACTCCAAGTCAATCACACTTCTGTGAAATCAAACTATCCACTTAGGTAGCAACACTGATTGACAATCAATTTCACATGCTGTTGTGCAAATGGAATAGACAACAGGTGGAAAGCAGAGGCAGTTAGCAAGACATCCCCAATAAAGGAGTGGTTCTGCAGGTGGTGACCACAGACCACTTCTCAGTTCCTATGCTTTCTGGCTGATGGTTTGGTCACTTTTGAATGCTGGTGATGCTTTCACTCTAGTGGTAGCATGAGATGGAGTCTACAACCCACACAAGTGGCTCAGGTAGTGCAGGCCATCCAGGATGGCACAACAATGCGAGCTGTGGCAAGAAGGTTTGCTGTGTCTGTCAGTGTAGTGTCCAGAGCATGGAGGTGCTACCAGGAGACAGGCCAGTACATCAGGAGATGTGGAGGAGGCTGTAGGAGGGCAACAACCCAGCATCAGGACCGCTACCTCCGCCTTTGTGCAAGGAGGGACAGGAGGAGCACTGCCAGAGCCCTGTAAAATGACCTCCAGCGGGCCACACATGTGTATGTGGCTGCTCAAACGGTCAGAAACAGACTCCATGAGGGCGGTATGAGGGCCCGACGTCCACAGGTGGGGGTTGTGCTTACAGCCCAACACCGTGCAGGACGTTTGGCATTTGCCAGAGAACACCAAGATTGGCAAATTCACCACTGGCACCCTGTGCTCTTCACAGATGAAAGCAGGTTCACACTGAGCACATGTGACAGACGTGACAGGGTCTGGAATCGCCGTGGAGAACGTTTTGCTGCCTGCAAAATCCTCCAGCATGACTGGTTTGGCAGTGGGTCAGTAATGGTGTGGGGTGGCATTTCTTTAGGGGGCTGCACAGCCTTCCATGTGCTCGCCAAAGGTAGCCTGATTGCCATTAGGAACCGAGATGAGATCCTCAGACCCCTTGTGAGACCATATGCTGGTGCGGTTGGCCCTGGGTTCCTCCTAATGCAAGACAATGCTAGACCTCATGTGGTTGGAGTGTGTCAGCAGTTCCTGCAAGACGAGGGCATTGATGCTATGGACTGGCCCGCCCGTTCCCCAGACCTGAATCCAATTGAGCACATCTGGGACATCATGTCTCAGTCCATCCAGCAACGCCACGTTGCACCACAGACTGTCCAGGAGTTGGGGGATGCTTTAGTCCAGGTGTGGGAGGAGATCCCTCAGGATCCACCTCATCAGGAGCATGCCCAGGTGTTGTAGGGAGGTCATACAGGCACGTGGAGGCCACACACACTACTGAGCCTCATTTTGACTTGTTTTAAGGACATCACATCAAAGTTGGATCAGCCTGTAGTGTTTTTTTCAACTTTAATTTTGAGTGTAACTCCAAATCCAGACCTCCATGGGTTGCTAAATTTGATTTCCACTGACAATTTTTGTGTGATTTTGTTGTCAGCACATTCAACTATGTAATGAACAAAGTATTTAATAAGAATATTTCATTCATTCTGATCTAGGATGTCTTATTTTTGTGTTCCCTTTATTTTTTTGAGCAGTGTATATAATCTTATTAATATATTGGCTGATCATTAGTATTTCTTAATACAGTCATTAACATGCTCTGATGCTAAGGAGTTCTACTCCCCCTCCCCACCTGAAAAGAATTCTTTTCCAACTGCCAGTTGCCTCACATTTTGTTACCTCACATTCCATTACCTTAGCAACTCCACAGCCATTTGCACCACTCAGGTAACCCGAGAACACAGACAAACCTCCAAGTTGTCTCAACGACTTTAGATAGATGATAGATAGATAGATGATAGATAGATAGATAGATAGATAGATAGATAGATAGATAGATAGATAGATAGATAGATA